GGGAGGGCAGCACTCCCTCAGTTCCCTGAAGTGTTTTTCCCCCACTGTGGTCGATCGCCCTACCTGGGTATCTGTGACGAAACCTGTTTATGTTAACATTCGTTCCCATACAAAGAACCTTGGCAGATAAAGATTTTTCTCTGACATCGTCCAAGGGAAATTCCCTCTCATTAAACAACAGCAGAAGGTAGGAAATTATACCACATTCTTCGCTTTCTGTATCAGCATAGATGAAGGCAGTGGCAGCATGTCAGAAAAAGCGTGTACAAAGGGGAAGAGGAAGTTGCACAGCCATAGCAAATAAATAATAATGGTCTTAAAAGCTCTCCCATATGGCCTGAGTACACAAGCTCTGCTTGGGCCCCAGGTACGTCTCTGCCTTAGCAGAATCTCATCACCCCAGCTTGCTGCGAGCGCTTTCTCCACCCCGGCCCTCACCCAAGTATTTCCAAAGTGCAACTCCTCCAAATCGAAGAACACGCAAAACTGAGCCACATGCTCATCTATAAATCAGTATGCAATTGTAGACCGAAATTACTTCCATTTGGGGGCTAGTACGATGAGCTACATGAGCAATTTCATGAGGGAATACGGTTTGACACTAGCACAAAGCTCATTTGAGTGCAGAACGCCGTGCAGCCAGGGGATGTGGGGACAGATCTATGGTACAGTTTGCATAACTTGAGCGTTCCCCTGGGGAAACACAACAGTATGTTTGACCGTGTATCGATGCAAGTAAACAGAGATTGAGCGAAATGCTTATGAGGGGAAAAACAACAACAAATGTTTAACATGAAAATATTGATAGATACCAAGTTTCCTTTCACCCAGAAAGCCTGTATGATAGATACACATGAAGTCACCTAAAGCAAACATCACCTAAAGCATGGAAACATACTCTTTCATAGCAAGCACTTCCATAAAAGCTGCTTGCATAAGAGGATGGCATTTAACATCTGTGCTCTCTAGGTTGAATCATCACGAATGCAGTTTTTCCTTATTGCTACAGTTAAAGAAATGTCCTGGTGAAGCTAAAAGGAGACCAACCAACGTGAAAAGCCCTATCCTGCAGACGCATATGTCTGCACTTAGCTGCTGTAACTTGGAATAGTTCCATTTCAGTCCAATAGGGCGACTTTTTTGAGTCAAGTTCAGCACAAACAGATGACTCCGAAGAACTGGCAAACCAAGATCTTAAATTCTTTCCATAGAAAAGCTATCCAAGCAGAAGCACTCGACATGCCTGTTACTGCAGTGCCCTGGACATCAAATTAGTATCTCTGAGGATGATCAGACAATTCTTTCCCAGGAACATTTACAAGTAAAAACAGATAATTCTTTGGGGCTCTGAGCCACCCGATTTGTATTAGTTCTTAGGACTGGATTTCTCTCACGCACGGTTTCGTAAGGTAGCACCAGCTTTGGCAAGATGTAGCAAGCTTAGCAGAATGGATGTAAATACCAGTGTTCACATCCGAGTGTCTCTGAACCCCCCGAGGCGGCCAAGGGCTGCAGATGCATGGTGTCTCCCATCTGCAGCTCCGCCAGCTGAAGAGGTTACCGCACTAGCCCGGGTGTCACAACCCCTCCGGGGGGGACGGGTCTCTCTCCTAAGACCTGCCCGCCCAGCTGCTGCAAACAGCACTCAGTACTGCATACAGTCAAAGTAAGCGACTGGAGAACTATTTTGGGTTGGGGGTGTGCATGTGTGATTTTTTTTTTTTTTTAATTGCTTTAGCTGATTTTGACTGACAGAGGTTAGTCATTACTAACACTGACTCAGGGGGACGTAACTCCTAGCAAAGAAGCAGCAATAAAAGCATGGGGGCAAGAATCCCTTCAACCAGAACAGCTCGAGCAGCTCCACCTGATCTGGTGCCTTAATGAAGTCACCAGGTGTTTCAGCAATGACTAAGCAGCCCCGCATTGGTCGCTCTGAACATTTCCCTATGGATTCCTCTCGTTCCTCACTGTCCACAGCCACTACCCTTTTCATAACAAATTTCAAATGTATCTCCTAATCTCTTCCATCCCTTTACTATCCAGTTGTTATTTCTAAAATAGCAAAAATCTTTATCATGATAACCATATGGGAGGCACAGCAATCAAACCACTCATTACAGTGATGAAAGAATTTAAATTAAATAGAAGAAGATATCATCCTAGCATGCGAGTCAAGAAAAAAATGGTCAGTGTTTCAAAGCATTCTTCTTGATTTAACCTTAATCTGATTTGTCAGTCTTCAAAAAACTCACTCTATTATTAGAATTAGTTCTTAATTCTAGGGAGGAGAATAAACTGTATTCTTTGTACAATCTAAATTCTTGCCCTATGTGTCAAAAAGGATCAGCCCTTAGGAATGGCATTTCACCTGATACCTTTATAATAACAACAAAACCAAGTTGTTTAGGAGAATGGAGGGCTGACAATTGGCCACATCAGGAAATAAGTTTAGACCAATATATAGGAGCTTTCCTTTTGTAGTCTTCAGGATTGCAAGGCTGGCTTAGACTGAACATTTTACGATATTCAGAGGTTATATTTATTGTCTGTTCTTCGAACCTTATCCATCCTTGAAATGCTATTTTTCTATTTCTAGCTTTTTCTTACATGCTGCTTTCTTAATGGCCACATTTTCAGCTTTAACAGGCAAATGACTTGCAAGTAATAGAGGAGTTTTGTGAGTAGTTACAAACCAGGTCATTCCTAGCCCACTGTATCCCCACCGAAAGACCCAGCATCTTTTCTCTCAGAGCTGCAACAGGCTGTGAGACTCTGTTGTTACACCTGAGCTGTTCTCACAGTTGACCGACTAACTCTCCAAGCTCCAAGAACTCCAGTGGTTTTTTTTGTTCCCTGAACTATTTGGTTCGTCACTCAGGACTCTTATTCCCCCAAAACAGTCATTCTTCTGGTAATTTCTGCCTTTAAGATTTCTACAGCTCGCCTCCACCTCTAAACCACAAGTTGTTTTGTTTTTTCTATCCCCAAAGCTTGTCCAAATTTAACATTCCCTTCCGAGTTATTAGGTAGCAGCAGTACAAAGTTTAATTTAGGGAGCTATAAGAAGTTGAGATCTTGAGATTATTCATGCTTTGGC